TGTGCACGTATAATGTATAAATGCATAGATCATTTGAAAAAATGGAATCTATAAATGAACTCTCAGAATGATCAGAGTATATTATAGTTGTGGGTTTTTTTTCCAATGGGATTAACTTTGTCCGTCTGAGTCAAAATAGCAAATTGTATCTAGGAACAGATTCTAGTTAAGTTTGGTTAGTTAACATCTGTTGCGTGGTAGCTAATTCTTGACTTAATCCTGATCATTTTTTGCCTAATACGCACATGGGCACAGATAAAACAGTGGGCAGATTCAAAGGTCTTGACTTAATTGGTCTCTCGTACAATGTTATTATTTTCATACAGCATATATCTTCAGGAACTGAATGTTGAATTGGACCTGGTATCTCTTTTTAACTCTCTTCTTCTATGAAGCCAGGTTTTTTATAATGTGTTAATGCTTGCACTGGCATTACAACACTGGACAAGGAGAGTCTGTTGATCCATATTTAAGGAGTAGGACAGAAGAAAGCTGGAAGAATTTGGGAGAAAGAAAGGAGTTTCAAGATTATTCCGCGTTGCTCTCTTAATTATGACAAAGCTATGTGAGAATGAGGAGGAGGATATTTAACCTGGCATACAAAGGGCATACTAGTTTATGGACTCAAGAAAGGAGTGAGATTGTCTGCTAATATTATGATTATAATTTTAGTATCTTCCTTTAGATTGCATTGGAAGGCAACAGAACTAGAGCGTCCATACAGAAATCAATTGACTCATTGAACTGATCAATGAAGATAACAAATTTATAGGCAATTTTCACTGTTATCACAAAAAAAAAAAGAATTTCTGTGAGACAAGAAGAAACAGCAAAACTTTACTTGAACTAAGTAGACTAAGTTAAGACTGCGTACTTATCACTTGGAAGGCTAAAAGAATCTCACTTGTGTGTCATTTTTGGGAAGAACCTGATAATCATGTTCAGGTTGTAGTAGCACAGCTTCAGACTGTCTTAAAGTGTGGAACAGTTGATTTGCTAAGTGGATCATGTAATAAATAACTAGTTAGAAGCTATTCTTAAATCCTTCTCTTTGCACTGCTTTTCCATAGGAGTAATTGCTCTCAGAAGAGACATTTGATTCCTTGACTAGAAGGTAAGCTCCACAACTGACTGTGTCTTTGACTTATTCCTGTTCTTTGTCTCATGTCTTGCTGTCATTCAGTATGTGCAGGGTCTTAGGTTGTTGTGTTGGTGGTTATCTAAGGTTTTAGAAAACAGAAGAGGCAAATGAAACAGGTAACGTTTTTTAAATGCACTGTCCGACAAACCCACAAAATATTATGGTCTTTAAGTGTATGCAACAGGACTCTGATAGTATAGATACACACTCCATACTGTAAAGGAAGTATTTATTAACATTTCAGTATTTTGAACAGATAAAACACCATAAGGCGTTCCTCATATTTCAAAGTATGATTTACAGACTCTTTTTTTGTTAAAGCTCACTTGCTATCCATCATCTCATATTTAAAAAACAAAAACCAAAAAAAAGAAAGGAGAGGGATCATGGCCATCATTATTGTATGATGTAGCACTTGGAATCTACGTCTCTGGTTCCACTTTTGAACTAAGAAGTCCACATGTGTGATCTTCAGAGTCATTTTACACTTCTGGGCAAAATGTTGTAGTTGCAGACATGTTACTGGAGATGGGCCTATTCCTTCAGCCACTTTTTAAAAGACAAGTTGGCTGTGTTTTGTCATATGCCTAGTTCTATTAATGTTCAGCCTACTGTGACAGTATCTGCCAGGCCTAGCCTGGCATGTGGATTCACGTGGAGAAACAGGGTAATAAGTTTATCTCACTAAATTTAGGTGTCAGTGTAAATGTCAATACGTGAGCTAGCAAATCTGGACTCTGTTTTGGTCTGAGGAAAAAGCAGCTATTTTTAAGGTGCAATTCCATTTTAGATACCTACTTTAGGATGAATCTGCCTTAAGAGCTGTGGAATATATTGACTAGATCTCCACTGATTATCAAGGAGAGCAACTAACTTAAGTACTGATGTCTAATTTAGTTTAGTGGACACTACTCATAGTGTCTGGATACTGATTCAGCTTAAGATACACTGGAGTAGTTCTGGTCCTATGGGAAAGCCAGAGGCCCGAATGAAGTTCATAGTGAAACAGGGAAGTGCCTAGTGAGCTTAGGCACCAAGAATAGGCAGAGCTGAGGGAGAGTGTTGGGGATTGTAGTTTTGGAGTGAGGATTTAGTTAGCTGTAATGGCTGCCTGCTGGCTGAGATACAATGCCTGGTTAGACCACTGCATTGAAACTGGTAGGAGCAAAGTAAGGAGGCTAATTTGTCTACTGCTGAAGGCAATAAATTCCAGGTGAAGGACAGGAAGTACCATAGAATAAGAACTTCATAGATTGCTTGGCTATGCATTGGCTACATCTGTTATGTCAAAGTCCTGTATTACCTCTAGCTCTACGTAATCTAAAATAATCAATCCTTTAATCTCTGAAAAACATATATGGAAAAAATATGCTCCTGTGATTCTAGAAACATACAGAACATGAAGCAGAGAAGATTACTCAGATAAGAATATTCTATATTTTGTCCTTAAGATTTAATTAATCACTTTAATTACTAGAGAATAGAGGTTTAGTTTTTAAAAGAAGTTTTTCAGGTAACATAAACCCAGCATTTAATCACATTAAAAAAACTAAATCCTGCTATAAATCCTGGGTACAAATTTGTTCTGAATAGTAAACTGAGAATCAAAGATCTGCAAACCTACTGAGAAAAACACAACATGCAGTTATCGTGGAGAGAAAAGGATTTGAGTAAGAAGTTCTTTTATGGGTCAGTAACCTTTCAATACCTGTACACATTGATTGTATGTGATAATTAAAATTCAATGCAGAAGACACATTTTTAATTATCAGTAAGCCAAAGAATTCCACGTGCGTCATTGCCTCAAGTCAGAGGGTGACTGCTGAATACAGAGAGCTTTACGGGAACAAAGCTAACACCAACATTTGATGGCAGAATGCACTGAAATCCAGAACAGTAACTGTGGCAGAGAAGCAGGCTGAGGACCATAATCTACAATAAAGTAGATGTCCTGTTCGCTGTCCTTGTTGCTACAAATCATACTGCTTTTTTAATATTACCAAGGAATCAAGTATTTCTGAACATGTAGAAAAATGTATAAGTTTCTTGAAAATATTCTCAGAAGTTCGATGTATTTGTTCAGCGTGAAGAAATATTTACAGTTAAAAGCTTTAGTTATTCACGGTCTTGGAATATGTATAATTATTTGAATCTGTGAACATTAATTGTACAACATTATTTTTTAATGGGCATTAACTTTTAAAATTGTTTAGTTTAAACCTAATTAAACTCATTCAGAATTAAAATTGCTTTTTATTACTTTAACTTAATTTATATCTGAAATGAATTGAGCTGAACAATTCTAAATAAGTGTCCATATCGCCATACCAGGATTTAACACAATTTAAATAACCCAGGTTTCCTGAATGTCCTGGTGAATCTGATTCTTGTATGTGGGCATGATGCTTACTTTCTACAGTGACTGCATAAATCAGAAGGTAGTATGTCCATCACTTTTGTTGAATGTACTGTCAGTAATTTGTCCTTGTGCTTTCTCTTATATGGAGTTAATTTTTCCCTAGCCAAAGCTGCATTTTCTGAAACACTGAATTCTAGCATGTGAGTATGTGTTCATATGTGTGTATATAGATACGCACAAGGGTAAAGCACATTGGAGCTGAAGAATCTTTGATTTTATGTGTCTCCCTCTCAAAACTATAGTTAGTGACCTGCCCATGAAGTTTTAATTTTCAGATCCATTTTTAGGATGTGCTTATCAACTGGTTTCACTACTGCTGTTTTACAATATATATGAGAGGCCAGTAGAGGAGCAATACCTGAAAAAATTCAGAGGATTCAAGAAGAGCGCCAAATTTTTGTTGAACAACAACAATAGCCCTGATTTCTGTAACCAAACAGCCTATGGCTCATATTACACTAGAAGATAATCTCTTATACCACAGGGAGGCTGTCAGGATATTCCTGGCTGAGAGTGAAGGTGAGGTTTCACCTTGAGAACTAACTGAGGAGTTACTAAGGGGTACTAGCAGTGCACATTTCACTTTTACACACTGTTAAACCTAAGTTTGGCACGGCTTGGCTTATGTTCTATGCGTAGCCAGTGCTAGTGGGTCATGTTGCTCTTTACTTTTGCCTGTAGCTAAATGGAAGGGTCTGCTGAAGTTTTGCAAGCAACATGAAATTAGGTCGACATGAGGTATTGCATCCACATGCTTCGGAAGCTACTATTAGATACAGCTGAGAAGGTCTTCCTGGTTCACGTGCACTTGTGCTATTACGAAAAATGCAGAAGATAGAAGCTGGACTTGGTGTAAATAGATGTGACTTTTTAAAATCAGTGTAATTTGTACTGTGCAGAACAGCTTCTTAATACCTGCAGACCTGATTTTTATCTTCTGTGAAACATGAACAGAGAATTCAAATTTAATTCTAACCACATTTTCAAGGTAGAACTTATTTGTACGTTCTGCAGTTGTGTAGAATGTTTGCCAACATAGAATGTGTAGGCAAACATGGGGAAATGCCCTAATAGGATCTTCACGTTCACATATAATTTATAGATGCGGCTAAAACCAACTTACAGAAAAGCATGTGCTATGTATTTGTACCATGTTACAACTTGAGCCTGTGATGTCTCAGATCTTTCTTTTTAGTTATATATTTTGTTGACAGATATATTTTACCAAATTTGTTCAAGTGTTAGAAGGTTTGTTTTGTTTATAAGGGACAAACTTCTGCATAGAAATTACTATGTCAAAGAAATCTTCAAACTGATTAGGTATGTCAGATGAATGAGAAAGTCTGTGTTACAAGCTTTCCCAAATCCCTGGTAAACTGATTCCTAAAGCAGAGAAGGGAGTTTGTTTGTCTGCTTTTATTTTTTGTTTTTATTTTTAGAATGGGTAAAAAAGTAAAGAAGGAAGTAGAGCCTCCACCCAAGGATGTGGTAAGTTTATAAACTGCTATGTGCTGTAAAATAAACATTACACAATTGTAGGCCCAGCTTTACCATCTTTATATAGTTCCTTACTCTCCTAGCTTACCCACATTATTCTAAAAATGTCTTTTAAAGATGATTCTGTTTCTGCTTTTCTTGGACAGCATACAAACCAGCATGACTGGGCATGTGTAGTTCTTTGTGGAGATTGTTGTCTTTGGCAGGCTTTGCAAATACTAATGTATGAAACAATCCAGGCTTCTTTTTATTTGAAAAACAGTATTAGCTTTCCATTTGTAAAAATCAAAGGAGAAAGAAGAGTGACCTGAAATCTGACTGTCTTTTCGACTGTGAAGATGTTCCCTTTCTTTAAGGATGAAAGAGTTAAGAGCCTAGATGGTTTCGTAGAGTTTTTTAGTGAATACAAGATTTTACAGATATTTTGAATGACAGTAGTACGTATTCTGGATCTTTTGCAAAGATATACAGTCTTTATCAGCAGTTCAGGTTTTTCTAGTATCATTGGAAGTGCCACAGTGAGAAGTACAAGAGCTGAAGCCAAATATGGAATAATGGGGGTAATGTGACTTTTTTTTAAAAAGGTGGAAATTAAGGGTCTGGCACTAACATATTTTTTTCAAGAGTTTCTATAAATTCACAAGGTACAAAGAGACCCCAGAAAAGACAGAGGTTCAAAATATAAGTATTTTTAAAATGTAGTTGGTTTATTGAGAAAGAAGTAGAGGAAATAAGACAGAAACATCGAAAAGAGGATAATATGTATTCTGTGCCAGCTAATAACCAAGTTAATGAAAAATAGGACCTCAGTGAGTCCCACAGAGGAACATGAAACTAAATACGAAGTTCAGTGTACCGTTTTAAAAAAACAATTGGTTTGTCTGTAAGGAGTCATGGTGTTGCAAGAGCTTTTTCAAAGGTCATAGAAAAGTTGATAAGCAAAAAATTACGTCACAATTTCAATATTAAATAAGCATAAATAATTTTGACTAAAAAATATCCAATAACCATAATGTCACTGAAGTGCAGCAATTGATATCAGGTTTTGCCCAACTGTTCTGTGGAAAGATGAATATTAGACATGTAATTCATAAGCTCCAAGCAATAATACATCGTTATGAAAGAAGACTTGAAATAAAACTTCAACATGAGAGGATAAATTGATCTAAAGCCATTTCTGTATAGAATGACCTAGAAAACCAGGAGGAGACACAAAGAAGGTGTGTGTGGATAGGGCTAATTAAAATAAGAATAATAAAAAGAAGAATTAAAACTAAGTGTCTTTGTAGTCTAAGAAAAAAATGTCGAAAGGCATGACAGTAGATTTAAGGCATACAGATGAGCTAACCCCCTCCAAAGTAATAAAAGTTGACTTTTTCAGTAAATATCTAGAAAGTCAGTAGAAGCAGCACCATGATTTCTAGATCCAAAAGACAACATTAGAGTTTCTGGAGAATAGTACGGTACAGCCTACTAACTACCACAATAAACTGTGAATAATCTTAGAAAAACTATTCAACCATTTAAAAAATTAAACTTACAGAAGAGGTCAATCAAACTATTAAAAAGGAAAGAA